CCGACGTTCCTTCTCCTCCCGGGAAAGCCGAGCTCGACCAACCTGCATGGGTTCTTGATCGAATGAGGGGCTGACCGTGTTCTCCTCTCTGGCGCTGGCGAACTCCGGAAACTCCGGAACCAAACCCCGACGTGAACGATTCCCTCCTTGTTGAAGACGAGCGTCCACGCGTAACGCCAAGCTGATAAGTTCATCGAGACTCCTCGGTAACTCCAGGGTGTAAATCTCTCTTTGAACACGGTCAGCCAACCCATGCAGGAAGACGTCCCACTGCGCCTCTTCGTTCCAGTGGCACTCGGCCGCCAGGGTGCGGAATTCGATGGAATAGTCCGAAACGGTGTTGTTGTTCTGACGCAACTCAGTGAGTCTGCGCGCCGCCTCGCGGCCCACGATCGCGCGGTCAAACACCCGTCTCATCTCGTCCGCGAGTGCCTGGAACGAAGAACAGCAGTGATGTTGATTCTCCCACACCGCCGTTCCCCATTGAGCCGCGCGTCCGGACAACAATGTCATCACCAAGGCCACCTTAGATTGTTCAGTGGCGAAGGTAAGTGGCTGAAGAGAGAAAAAAATGGAACACTTCGTTAAAAATGCTCTACACAGATTGGGCTCACCCGCATATCTCTCAGGGGTAGGGATGCGCGGCTCGTGCAGATGGAAGTTCGGAGGGTCCTGGGGAACGGTCGGCGGGGGTGGCGCAGGGGACGCTCTCATTTGTTGGATCTGAGTGGTGAGCTCGGACACCTGCGTTACCAGTGCTTGCATGGCACGACCAGTCGCCGTCGCTTGTTCCTCCTGATGATCCATCCGTGCAGCACTGCTCGTGAGGAAATTCTGTAGCTCCGTTGTGCTTGCTGAATCCATAATGGTCAGATCGTTCTGTCAGTTGGACCAGAAAGAACGATAGGATTCAAGTGCAATGAACAACTGTTTATTCACAAAAGAATAGAAGTAGTAGGTTCAGATGGAAGTCTCAGTCTCTGGCAGGACACTGGCAACGCAGGGACGCAGATGGGCAGACTCCAGGCAATCCGGCAGGGAAAACAGGCGATCCGGGCAAACGAACAGACAGGATACTGGACAAAAGACAAGGGTGAATCCAGAGAGCCTCGACAACGATCTGACAAAGACAGGACAAACTCACACACAATAAATAGGGTGCCGTGATGAGAAACAGCAGACGCTGATCCGCTCATCAACCTCAATCACGAGCCACGCCTACCAATACACATAACCATACTCACAGCGCGAGGGCGAGACAGTGAATCCATGAACCGTGACAGGCATACTTTGATACTTACATGTTTGTAATACTTACGAGTTTGGTCTTTTATATCACTGTATTAGTCCATTAAGCTACGTTAAGCGTTTTGTCCCGACGGAAGGGGAATCGTCGAGTATGATGAGGTATTGAGGGAAACCGATTATAATCCCGTTCAGAGAAAGCTGAACATGTAGGCTACATTGGGAAATTAACAAGGAAAGTTATTGAATTAAACATAAACACAACTTTTGTGTCTTTATCATCTTTTCTGCATAATATACTGACCCAGATAATCATCACAAAAACTTGATGTATGCTCAATTGACCGTTCGCAAAAGCCACGCCCCCTAGTTATACGACCAGCGCGACAGATTGCCATGACGGGAAGAGGTATACCCGTGCGTGTGTGACCTTTTTTGAAGCAATACCTCAGCGATATCCTCCAGATCGAGGCAAAAGGGGTTACAGTATGCAGGGGAGGGATATATTCAAAACATAAAAATATGCAATGAAGGAGACACGACTACTATCGAGGCGAATGCTTAACGTTACCGGTCTCAAGCTAAATCTGAGAAACCCCATGACCTGTTAACGTTAACGTTACCTCAAATTCAACCAGCACAGCCTTGAAGAAGATTTTATAAACTGGTTGAGTGGCTAATGTTTGGAGTTAGAAATATATAACTCGCGCTGCATATTTAGTAATTTTGCCTCAGATACAGGATTATTCGCATTAACAGCAGGTTGTTCATTACCACGGCAACCGCTTGCGTGTCATGCTGAATGCCATTTTCGTGTTTAAAAAGTAGGCTAACTAAACATAAGAGACGGAAAGATGCAGCTAACCATAGCGTTATATTATTTAAGGTTATTTCTATTCGTTACGATATTGATATATGAACTGATGTTGTCAAGTAAGCTTCATGCTTTCCCCGTTGCGAACGTGCACTGTAACGTTAGTCTACGTTAGGGTGCTTCACTGCTGCTCATTTTCCCCTGAGAATATCATGTTAACAACAACCCTTTAGAAAACGTAATTCCTTTGTGGATCCTCTTGATCTGGTTTCTCCATGTTTCTTTAACTAATCTCAGTGTCTCAGTCTCACGCACGCTGCACGCGAGTTAACCATGTTCGACACATTTAACTGGGAGTGGGGCCGTCCACACTGTTTTATCCATTGTAGGCACCACTCAAGTTGTGTTTTCGGCTTTGGAAACGGAAAGAACACAACTCCTCCAGACAATCTCTCGGGGTACCTCGTGTCCGATTTACAAACGCCGTAGGCGCACCGCTTTATCATCTTGCTTGGAGTCAATGTTTGACGGACCTGCTCACATAGTAACGGTTGCTATGATGTGTGATTGGACAATGGCCATTTTGTGGGAGGGGCCTGCGAACGGTCAATTGCTGTAAATGAGTTTTTATGAATGAATGGCTTGCTCTAACTGTTGCTCTGGTCTTCAACAACACGCGCTTGCACCCCCTGCTGGTGAGGTCGACCAGTCTATGAGGTCGACTAACAGCAGATGGAGATTATGCTCGGTAATCTACTGCTTTTCCTGCAGTTCCTGGATGTCAACGTTGAATTTACTGTAGAATTTGTGGAAGCGAATTTGCAAAGCGAAATAAAATGGACCGAAAATTGCCTGTTGAATATTAGGTTGTATTTTTAAACAGTTTGAATATTTTGGAAGTGAAATATGAAAGGTGAATAAGGATTATTGTATTTTTAATAATGAAAATGTGTTTGAAATGTTTTGAATTGAAATATTCACTGCTTAAATATTCAATCATGCTGAATTTCAGCCCATAAAAATGCAAGCCCTTAAAATACAATGCATTAAAATGCAAGCATGGTTAATGCAATACCTATTAGTGCAATTCAACTGGCTTTTTTGTTTCAAAAACATTTGGCATTATTTTACTTCCATATTTGTATCAATGTAGAAGTCTTTACTGTCACTTTTGACCAATTTGATGTGTTCATGCTGAATAAACGTATTAATTACTTTTTTAAAAATCTTACTGACCCCAAATCTTTGAATAGAATAGCATATGGTACTAAATGATTGGCATATATGGTATTTGCATGGTCCAGGGTGCTTCAAAGAATGCATGATACAATGTCAAAAACAAAAACATGGTAATACCATAGAACCATGTCCAAATTAATACATGGTAGGCTACATAATACATAACTATAGTTTTTCATTAACAAAACATGATTAAAGTTTGTATCATATTGTATACCTGTTATTAGAAGTTTAAGTTTTGATGAAGCAAAAACTTATCCTTGACTATGTAATGTTCCCTTCTCTTCGTTATATTTGCAGTGAAGTCACGGCTTTCGTATGCTGCAGCCAAATCATGGTAAGAAGGTATTTTCTTTCAACTGCTCAATTTCAGAGGCTATCTTCTTTCTGAAATTTTCAAAAACGATTCAATAAACAGGCTGTCTGAAATACCCAGACAGTTTGACCAAATTTCAGATTCAAATAGAAACACTTCCCTCCTCCTCCCCTGGGATTTTTGTGAAGATCAACGCGGACCCTCTTATGCATGAGTGGCCTTAAAAGTTCAGTAGCCTATGTGGTTTGGAATATGGATGGGTATGATGATGATTCAATATATGGGATACGTTTTTGCAGTTCAGTTGATTGCTCAATGAGAATATGATTTCAACGATGTCAAAAATATTTTATCCGCCTGTTTTATTTATCTTGTTTTACGGATGTGTAGACTTATACTGGAAAACTTGACAAAATAATTTATTAGCTTATTAAATATTTTTACTTTGTTGTTACAGTAAAAAAAAAATCTAAAACCTAAATAAAGCAGCAACAATTTTTTTTTTTTTTTTTGCAAGATTTTTTTAAAGACTCATCCGGTCTGCACTTTTGGGTTTTTAATTGTTGGTTATTTTGCCATCATGGATTCAGACAACTGAGCTCAACCAATAATATTGCTATTCCTAACTACTCCACATGATGGCACCTGAAGTAGCCTACTCTATTCTACAGAATACCTTCCTGCACTTTGAAAAAAGTTATTCTTTTTTAATTTCTTTTTTAATTTCTTTTAAAAGTTTTGAATCAAGTACTAAATTAAGTATAAAAACCGCAAATACAAACTGAACTGCTATTCGCTTGGTTTGTTCGTTCGTAGGCTATCTTGTAAATGATATTTGCACTGTCACAGATATTAAATATGTATATTAAAGCGAGGAAAGTGTAGTAATCACTAATTTACTGTTAAAGTAAATGCAATAATGTTCACTGAATTCCAACAATGAACCCGTTTACAAGGAACATTTTTCGTGTTTCTAATTAAATATGTGTTTAGGCAAACTTGGATTTATAGCCTGCAATCACACTTTGATGAGTTGCTTCTTGTATTTTGATCTGAAGGTCTGTCTGAAGAAGCAGAGATTTGCTGATTTTCTTTCTTTCAATCACCTGTGCCAAGCTGCAATCTCCTTCTGTTAAAAAAAAAATATAGGCCTAACTTTGATGCTACCTGTCTTCTCGATGTGTAAATAATTAAAATTGATGAATTATGTTTCAATAAATAGTCTATTGTCTACTATCTTGCAGTCTACTTGTATTAAAATATTACAAAACTCGACATTATTAAAAAAAAAAATCAACTCATTACTTCATGTGACTTGATATCAATTTGTGATGTGTTTATTTTTGTCACTGTGACACCGCCGTGACAGCCCTTCCCTGACGTCAACACTGAGCCTGTGTGAAATGGTTGCGCGCATGCGCAACGCTGCAGACCTCGACTAAATTGAGGTCTTTGTTGAGATCAAAAAGACAAATCTTGCTCGAGCTTTTCAGATATCTCAGGGATATTTCGTGAAACGACAACTGTGTTGTATACAATCGCGAGCCTGGTGAAATCCCAAACACGAACTCAAGGATGTTAGCATAGCTGACAACATCGGATGTAACGTACATAAACAAACACATCGCTGCCGTTTTAAGGTGGTATTTTTTTAGCGCAGCTTGATTTTATTTATTTGTACAATTACGACAAGCGGTTTGCCGAAATGAGGAACTGTCATCATTTTAAGGAATAGATCTCCTCTTCATCTCCATGATATCATGAAAGAGGAGAGGAGTATTTGTATGGAAAGGCTGCCGATGGCACGCAGAAGTGGGGTTCAACTTTCCAGCTGCCTCGTCCAGACAGAGGAGAAGAGGGACGCAGAAAGAGGATATTTGTGGGCCAGCTTTATTTCACATAAATAGTCAGGCTGCAAAATTTGGAATCAGGTGGGAGATGGAGACTGTCGGGAAATTCGAGTTCAGCAGGAAGGACCTTATAGGGCACGGTGCCTTCGCAGTGGTATTCAAAGGCAGGAATCGAGAGGTGAGAAAATATCATTTGAAAATGTTTACCAAATCATTTCCATTTGCTTCCATTGGTGTCATTGTGTGTTGATAAGAATTAGTTTTTTGTTTACCTACTGGTTGCAGAACTGACATACCACCTTAAAGGCCTCGAGCAGAATACGAGATTAAATTCCCAGTATTATAAAATAGAGAGATGTGGAATGCTTTAATATCCCATTACATATATATCTGAGCTTTAAATGTGGCATTTCCATTTTTATAAATGACAATTATTCAGAGAGATTGAAATAAAGCATCTTAGCACTCAAGCCGTCCGTAGACATGCACGGACATGTTACAATATAAACTACAAGATGAATCTGTTTAACCACTTATATCATTGACATTTTCAGAAGCATGATTGGGAAGTTGCAGTCAAATGCATAAATAAGAAGAATTTGGCCAAATCTCAGACTCTTCTGGGGAAAGAGATCAAGATATTGAAGGTATGTTTTGGTTGTTTTTGGTCAGAAAACAAAATCGAGCATTTGTGTGCAAATTAATTTATCTTTGTTTTCTCTAGGAATTGAAACATGAGAACATTGTTGCATTGCACGACTTCCAGGTAGGATGATTTGTTCATGGAATTACACTGCAGATGTTTAGATGAACAGTTTTCGATTTAACCATCTAGAGAAAGTGGTTTTGTTAACTTTACTAGTCCAAATGGTATTAGTTACAAATATTTTAATAGTTATTATGGACTAAAAATGATTCAAATCTATGTTTTTGAGTGTATCACGACTTCCTTTGCATTGATTGGTTAAAAGCAGTCACTTGTTCTTCTGTTGACATGACATGTGCACTTGTTTTTAATGGCTCTGCTGCAGGGCATTGTGGGTAATGAAGTCTTAGTCACACACACACACACACACACACACACACACACACACACACACACACACACACACACACACACGTTTTATATACCAGGAAGAGAAATAAAGTTATGTTTACTCACTCGATTTGGTATTTAGAGTTTATTTGCACTCAGTGAATGCTTTTCTTGCAATGGTGTGAGTAAAACCTGTGTTGCTAGACTGGTGAAATGATTTCATTGAAGTCTTGACACGTTTTTCAAACACCTGGGTTCTTGCTATTTGCTCTGCTCTTGGGTCATCATGAGGTTAATGTGTCAGGCGTGTGTAAGTTAAAGCCAGTAGGATTACAAAAAACATGCAAATTGTAGGCCTACCTCTATTCAGTTGTAAATGCTTTGATTTGTCTCCTTTAATGCAGTCTGGGTTACTGACTTTTGAACTAATAAGCATAGTAATGTGTTTGGCTGGATAATCCCCATGTTACTTAAAAATAGGATAATAAAGAATAATTTATTCTTTATTAATTGATAAATTTTTACTAAATATATATATTATTTATAAAAAAATATAATTTATAAAAAAAAATTATTACTTAATAAGCTTTAAAAAAAATAATTGTACCTATATTTCATTGTTTTTATTTTAAGTATTTTCCCTTTGTTTTTGCAATAAATTTTTAACAAGTATTATATATTTTTATATAGTATTATCTGCATCAGATCAGACATTAAAAATTCATGTCAGTTAATTACCAAAAAAAACTGCTATGCTACCTCGTTAAAGTGTCAAATACCATTTTACCTTGATAGTCACTAAGCGACTGAAGAATTTCCATATCCATGCGGTTTACGTAGTACCGTGGTGCTTTTTTTGGTTAGTATTTACAGTTTACACTGAGGTTTGATGCTGCTTTTGTCTCCATTCATGTCAGTTTTTTTAACGAAGTCTCACACTCAGGTGTTGCTTTTAAGAGCTGCAGCTCAAGTGTCTCAGCATATTTCAGCCACATGCTTCTCTGATCTGACCTCTTCTCACATCTCCTGGAAAGTCACACCACTTTCTTCTGTGGGGTCGACTGTCTGTGAAGTGTCACGTGACAAACTTGAGCTTGTTTGTTCTGGATGAACCCGGCAAGAGTTAATGTGGTCATCTCTCCCTCGCAAACACAGAAACAAGCTAAGTTTCAGCCAGAGTTTATTTTTAGTGCATCAGAGCCATGTGGTTTTTAATATCAAAGAGAAATATAACCATTGTCTTCCTACAGTTAAATGTGTGTAAATCGGATCTTAACAGGTTCGGTAGCATTTCAGGTGAACTGTAGCGTTCAAAATATGATGGTTGCTATTTTAAACGGGATAAGCAACAAAGCAAACATGTACTAAATTACAAATGTCCTCTCCAGAAGCAGTTTAGTAGGGTCCCTACTGCATCTGTGGTTAAATTCAACATTAGCAGATCTCACGGGCATGCTGTGTTCATAAGCAAAGCTCACTTTATCACCCACATGAACATCAGTCATTTAGGCACCAAGCAGTCTGTGAGTTATGCTGGGCTTGTTGGGTTTTCCCAGCTGAATCGCCAAGCTCGTTCAAGCGCTAGTTGTCATTAAACAGTGATGTTTGGCCTAGTTTCTGTCTGACTACACAGCCAACTGAGGTCTATCTTCTGTGGCAGAAAGTAAAACATCGGAAACGCTGAGTCAGCAGCATACGCCAGTCACGGATCAGCCGATCTGGCTGATTGTTTGCAGGCAGACACCAGAATGGGGGAGGTCATATGTTGCTAAGTGATAAGGTCATTCTAAGTGGGCTACCCTGTATTTTTTCGAGAGGCCTCGGCCATGGGCTCAGGAAATAACAGGATTATGCTGCTGTAAAAGCTGACCTGATAGCACAAACAACCTGTCCTGATAGCACAAACAACCTGTCCTGTGGGACTGATGGCAATTGTCTGGATCATTTAATATTTAGGACTTTGACTATTTCGGAGAAGCCTATCTGACATGGTTTTAAGAAAATATCATGCATTTGTTTAGTTTAGTCTGTTCATATGCACTGATGTTAATCGGTGTTCTAAAGCCTATAGACTGGCATTGCTGCTTTGTTGTTCTCTGAAAAAGGATTACCAGGTTTAAAAACATTATCTAAAACAACGTTTTATCGGTGCATGCTAGGCTCATATCATATGTAAAGGGATAGTTCACTCAAAAATAAAAATTCTGTAGTTTACTCTTTCAAAACCTATATGACTGACTGACTTCTGTGGAACATAAAAGAGAGAAATAATGTCTTAGTGTTTGTTTGTCCATACAATGGAAGACAATTGTCACCTAAAATGTTACCTAAAACAAAAATTCTCCAAAATATCTTATTTTGTGTTTGGCAGAAGAAAGTGCATGACATAATAAATATGGTATCAGTTGATATAATAAAAATTACAACTTCAGTCATTTCTAATATCGTGCATTCTCATTTCTTTTATTTTTACATTCAGGTTGCATTTGCTGTCATCTAATATGGAATGATATTCCGGACATTAGCTATTCAAAAGGAATTGCAAATACAATTTGCAATTCCTTTTGAATAATGTCCGGAATATCATTCCATAATCTAACGCTCAATCTAGTTAATCTTTAAAAGCAGTAACAATTTAATAACACATGTAATCTTTGGAAAATCTCAGAAAGATGATTATTTAATGTTCATACTGTACATTTTTATTGTGATGATGACTACATTCATTTGCAGCATTTAAAGCTATTCATTTTAGTTTTGTATTGTTTTATTTACATTTTTCTCTTTCGATCTTCATTTTTAATACTGACTATTTTGAGGAATTATCAGCTTATTGGTATCAGCCAGAGTTTTTATATTAGTTAACCTCCACTCAACTCAATACTCAACAGTATTAAGCTTCGGCAGATAACTGGTGCTGTTCTATGGACGATATATTCTTGGGGGATGGGCTCTTTTGTCTTTAACCAGTAAGAAACCCCCCGGAACACCCTAGCAACCACACAGCATGGACTAAATCCACTCATAAACCATTAGGTAATCACACAACACCCTAGCATCGTTCTAAGCACCACTCACATTTCACAGCATCAGCACTGTCAGTACCTTCTTGTGTCTGAGTGAGCTTCAGTGGTGTGTGCTGTGGCTGCGTTGAATTGAAATCTGTCACACCATCACACAGTTAGCACAGTGTTAACAAAGCTTATGACCTTTGCCCTCCCCTGGCCTGTATTAGCCCATTATGACCCAGTGCAGAGAAAACACGCTCACGCCATATGTGGATTAGTGTTAGGCAACTGCATTTGTAAAACACACAATACCGGTTCCACTGTAAACATGTTCGTCTATTAAAAGTCTAAAAGTCAACATACAAACAATGTTATGCACAAATGTTGAATATATATTTTAAAATACATTAATCTGCTGTAATGGCCACCTGTCTGTCCCAGTTTTTGAATCTCATTACTCGTGTCTCTTTCTAGGAAACGGCAAGCTCTGTGTACCTAGTGATGGAGGTAAGTGGGCCTGTTTTCCCACTGTCTTTTGTTGTTCATCTTGTCTGTCTTGTACCTGGTAATGCCTGCAATTTGCCGTGCCCTGGGGCCTATGGAAGACAGCTGCAGTTGTTAATAACACAACACCCGTAGATATATAAACCTGAATTCATGGTGAAATTCAACTTCCTGTAAAGGCCACGCTACCTAGTCAGCTTTCAGAAAAGCTCCATGGAAAAGCAATGGGGCAACTGGGATACCCATCATTAGTGGACAAAGGGAAATAATGGCCAATCTTTTCTGAGTGGCTTGTTTTAATATGCATCTGAATCGTCTCTCCCCATGCAATGAACTAAGCCCCATTTAGATGCAGGTTTTGTTATACAGCATTGTTGTGTGGTGCTGTTGTTCAAAGTAAAAAGATCAATGTTCTTTCTTTAACTGCAGTACTGCAATGGGGGAGACCTGGCTGACTACTTGCACTGTAAGTGGTACATTTCATTTATCATGCTTTGAATTCATTATGGGATTTTTTTGCTCACTGCACACCAGCCTTCTTTAGTGAATTGTGTGTTCATTCTTAAAGGGATGGTTCACCCAAAAATGAAAATTCTGTCATCATTTACTCAGCTCATGTCGTTGCAAACCCGTAAGACTTTCGTTCATCTGTTTAAGCATGTTCTCCTGTTATGCAGCGCGTTTGAGCTTCCACAAGAACCAATGAGGTTTGTTCTCGTGCGTCAAGCAGGTTCGGTTGAGATTCTGTTTATGTTCGCTGATCAATGTGAATAAAAGCCTTAATTAAATCTGCTCATCATATAAAGCGATCGAGTCTCTTCAGAAAATTTGGACTAAACCACTCAATTCATTTGGATTAGTTTTACGATCTCTCTATGAACTTTTTGAAACATCAAAGTGGTAGTTGCGTAGCTGTCAATGGAGGGACAGAAAGCTCTCAGATCTCATCAAAAAGATCATAATTTGTGTTCCAAAGATGAACGAATGTCTTACGGGTTTGGAACGACATGAGGGTGAGTAACTAATGACAGAACTCTCAATTTTAGGTGAACTATCCTTTTAATACATAATTATTTGTTTTAAGATTGCAAACTTTCTAAAAGAACATCTGCTTTTTTTGAGTAGAGAGGCAAGTCCTAGCTTTAAATGCTGAAATTATTTGCTTGCGTGATGAAACAAATTATATCGGTTAATTTCAAAAAGCATGCAAAGCGTAACTCAGGAAGTTAGGCCAGAAGGGTTTAGGGTTTGTGTTTGTGCATGTATGTTTTGTTTAAAGCGGTCTGAGGAAGCTGTAACTGTTATCTGCAGGGTGTGAGTATATTTTCAGAGGAAGTAGTTGCTCTGAAAATTCCAGACAAAACCATTTTTGTTCTTTATGGAATCTGACATTTCAGTTCAGATCAGACAGAGAGGTTGAGAAGAAATATGTGAAACACTACAGCATATTGCATTGCTTAAGTTATATATGCAGTGTGTGTGTAGTAACTCATTTTAATGTATAGACAACAGGTTTCCAGTGCTGTCTTAGTTGATATGCATTGCACTGTGGAAGGATTGCATATTCCATTTACATTCAATTTGCATGTAAAAAAGTCGTTATATGGACTGTCTGATATAGTATGAAACAGTAGAGTCAGGGCCAGGTGATATATCAGAAAACATTATCTCAATATTTTTTCGCCTTTTGATGGTATGCTTGTTATGTATTTGTTCTGAAATGTCTTAAATGTTGATATATTTTTGTCAATGAGATGTCCAATGTTTAATGCAAGGCATGCATTCATTAACAATCTATTTAAATATCAATTTAGGGCTCAGTAATTATTATTTTTTAAAGAATTTAATACTTTTATTCAGCAAGAATGCATTCAATTATTAAACTGATCAAAAGTGCAAAATATGCAAAAATGCTAAATAAGTTCTTTTGAACTTTCTATTCATCAAAGAATCCCGGAAAAAGGTTTCACAGTTGCCACAAAAAAATTAAGCAGCACAAACGTTTTCAAAATTGGTAATAATAAGAAATATTTCTTGAGCAGCAGTTCAGCATATTAGAATGATTTCTGAAGGACTTGAAAAATATATACATTTATTTATTGTATTTATTTTAAATATAAGCCTATATAAATTATAAATATAAGCCTAACCATGTCCCTTTGGGGGCTCTGTAGAATGTGGTACTCATTTTCCGTGCCTTTTGCGAATTCGGATTAAGGCTTCTAGCACCAGCAAAATCTTCACAAATGTATTGTATTGTCAATAGGAATCGCCTAGCCCTAATGAACTCTTTCCTCTGATGCTCTTTCAGCTAAGGGCACTTTAAGCGAAGACACCATCCGAGTATTCCTGCAGCAGATCGCTGGGGCCATGAGGGTCCTTCAGGCCAAAGGGATCATCCACAGAGACCTGAAACCCCAGAACATCCTGTTGTCCCATCCTGCAGGCCGAAAGTCCCACTCCAACAACACCTGCATCAAGATAGGTGAGTGTGTGTGCACGCCTGTTTTTATTATTTACTTTCAGCATTAGAACCTCTAGATACCACATCCATATGCTTGAGGAGGTCTGATGTTTGTAGATTCAGCCTGGTTTGTTTGTTTGTGTTTTGCTTGAGGATTTCAATGAAGTCTACAAACTCTATTGCAAATTGAATTGCTTTAGCCCAGTGATAGAATTATGTTCAGTAATATGGAAATATGTTACTATAATAAATAAAACAATATACTGATTTGATTTTAAAGCCACTCTTCACGGCCTGTTCTTTTATCTAAACCTGGGTTTGCCATTACCCAGAGTGTTTTGCTTCACCAGCACAGTTTCTAAGATCTTATTTTGGTCTCTTTAGCTGACTTTGGCTTTGCACGGTACCTCCAGAACAACATGATGGCCGCCACACTCTGTGGGTCCCCAATGTACATGGTATGAATTGTACATTTTTCTTCATTTCAGACTTTGCACATTTATGCGCATCACTGAGATTATAACTCTGAAATGCTGTTCACCAGGCACCTGAGGTTATCATGTCACAGAACTATGACGCCAAGGCTGACCTGTGGAGTATAGGGACCATTGTGTTTCAGTGCCTGACTGGAAAGGCTCCATTTCAGGTACTCACCATTCTGTGAGAATATGCACTTTAAGTTAACTGTTTAGTTGTCATTTTCAAGTTTGAGATACGATGCATCCATGCCATGATTTGGAAAATTACTTTTAGTAAGCTTGTTTTGATTGTCTGTCCATCAGGCCAGCAGTCCACAGGACCTCCGCTTGTTTTATGAGAAAAATAAAAGTCTTAGCCCAAAGTGAGTGCATATCTTATTGAGTTTGATTGCCAGCGACACTTTTCAGATTAGTCTTGGAGTACATATTCTGCTAAACCTTGTGTAAAAGTCCATCTCTTGCTGTCTTTCTCTACAGCATTCCCAGAGAAACTTCCAGTCATCTCAGACACCTGCTGCTTGGCCTCCTGCAAAGGAACCATAAGGACCGGATGGACTTCGGTCAGTATCCTGTGTGTTTATGCCCACCAATATTTGTTATTTATAAGTTTAGTTTTGGCCATAGTTCTGTTATTCACCATGCTGTCTTTTTGAAGTGTTTGTGAAATATTTCTGTTTTTATAGATGAATTCTTCAGACACTCCTTCTTGGAGGCAAGCTCCTCTATGAAGAAGTGTGAGTTATTACACTGCCATTTTAAACAATGTCTTTACTCTATTCTAATAGACAGTAAAAGGAGATGCTTAACCTTCAGAACATGTTTAGAGTCCAATTAAATATTATTATTTATAAAATATGTTTTATTTTCTGTCAGGTTTGCATCCTTGGTACTAAAATTTGGTTTAAACCCCTGATTCTTTTCAATAGATTTTAAATAAGCATCCAAATTAAATTGACCAAATGTATCAAGTTAATCAATATGATCAATATATATATATATATATATATATATATATATATATATATATAAAAATATAATAATTATGACATAATTAATTATAATCATTAAAACGCCAGAATGGGCAACAGAGTTAAATAAGAGGATAGCAAAACTGGGATCGTTTGTAGCTATTCATAAACATTTTTCCCACATAAAATAAAGAAAGCTGATTTTTATTTTTCTTGCAGTATTTTTACTTACCGGTACATGGTTTAATGACAGATACAGTCATCATTGCAGTTTGTGTAAAAATTGAGAAAGTGCAATAAGATCATTACTTGTCTTCCAAGTCGAAAGGGTCCAAATGATGTTTGGATTTATTTATTTAATGGGTTACAGGATTGCAAAATAAACACAACTAGATATTTTGTTTTTGGTCATTAAAATTAGTTAAATTTACTTTTTATTACAATTATTTGTATATTTATTTTATATGAATTGTATAGGAACTTAAATGAACCGAATTTATATGATTGTAATTTTCGGGTACAGTTGATAAGGTTGAGAAGTGGGCAACTTAAAGTCATCTGACTCTGTAGTGTGCTGTATTTATGGAAAGTACCAGCCGTCTTCCAGGATGTTAAATGCCTGTGTGTATCTTCACAGCTGCTCCAGTGACCGTGACTTGCTTTCCCAATTCAGCCTCTGCAAGCTCATGCAGCAGTTCGTCTACTTCACACCTGGCCTCTCCTCCTGTAAGTGTGTGTGTGTGTGTGTGTGTATTTCATTAGAATGATCAATGTCAGGTTTGTGTGTCTTGCACTGATAAATGTTGACGTGTCAGGAGTTTGTCACACACATGAAGATAAATAAGCACAGCAAGCAGCTGCCTCGTTGAACAAAGACACACTTTCTTAACATTTTATGGTGGCTTGTAACAGTAATCCGTGATAGGAGCCACATGTTAATCAGCTCTGTATTTTGTGGCATTTTATGGGTCTCATGGTGTCAGAATGCTGTATAGAGGTCAGTGCTTCAAAAGTAAAAACAGTAATATTGTGAAATATTATTACAATTTAAAATAAACGTTTTTAATTTTATAATGTCATTTTTTTTCTTAATATTTTTGTCGATTTTTTTTCTAGTATTCTTTGAATAGAAAGTTCATTTTGAATTTGAAATAGAAATAAATAGAAAGTTTTTATTGTATCTTTTTTATCAGTTTAAGTATTAATTTCTTTCAAAACGAATCTTACTGACCCCAAATTTTATACTGTAGTGTATGTAACCCCTGAAAATCTATATAAATTATATTTAAGGATATTCCACCAAACTTTGTAAAAATTGTCTGTCAAATAGCTTTATCAGAGTAGTAAGTAATCTTTTAAGATCTAGGGGAATAGAATGTAAAACTCAAATGTTACATTACTGTTAGATGTGAGTGGGTGAACAGAAACAGCCATGGCGCATATGTATAAGTGCCAAAAGACATTGGGTTTTATTTACGAAAATTCGATGCAGTCTGAGCTATTTACAGTATATTTATTAAAGACGAATAAAGAAAGGAAACAGAAAAAAACAAATAAAAAAGGGAAAAGGAACCTGAGTGGCACCAAATCAAATAACCAATCAAAACCCCCAAAAAGAATTCCCTCCAACCTAATTCCTAAGCCCTCTAACCTTGGGAGAGAAAGAGAGAGAGAAAACACAGAAAAGAAGCACCAAAACGCTTGTGGAATGTAACATTTATGATCTCTCTTATACTTTAAAAGGAATGTAAACGTATTAGCAGAGCTGTTTATTGCCAATTCAGGATACAAAGGATCTGTATTGGTGTAACATTTGTTCTCATCCTCTTATATATTTTGTAGCAATCCCTTGCAGAGATCCAGCAGGTCCGTGCAAAGGCGTTAGCCTCCCCTACCCAGGATTCTCCAGGATACCTGCTGAAGGACTCGGAAGGTGCCGGAGGCGGCAGCAGTAGCAAGAACTCGTCCTGTGACACTGATGATTTTGTCATGGTTCCAGCTCATTTCCCCAGTAAGCCTGTAAAAACTTCCTCACTCACAAGAAAATTGTGTCTGTCCTGGTTAAGTGGGAATGCTGGGTATTTATCATCTTTTTTCCCCCCTCCGTCTGTCTTTGTAGGTGAGCTTACCTGTGACATGCCGACAGGAAAGGTTAACCAAGACAGTCTGATGTATAGTGGGTAAGAGCTCAATTGAACTGTGATGCTCATGCATCTGATGCAGGTTTGAATGCGGCTTGTAACATAATCCTTCAGAAATCATTCTAATATGCTGATTTGGTGTTCAAGAATCATATTTTATTATTATCATCAATGTTGGAAAAAAAGTTGTGCTGCACTGTGATACTTTGTCTTTACTGCCCTTTTTTATCGATTTAACACATCCTTGTTAAAAGAATAAAATAATTAAAGGGGTCAAATGATGGTTCTAAAAATAACATTATTTTGTGTATTTGGTTTAATGCAATGTGTTTTCGCGGTTTTAGGTAAAAAAAAGTCATTATTTTACGCATACTGTACATTACTGTTGCTCCTCTATGCCCCGCCTTTCTGAAACGCGTTGATTTTTACAAAGCTCATCGTTCTGAAAATCGCTGTGTGCTCTGATTGGCCAGCGATCCAGTGCATTGTGATTGCCATTGTGAATGGCAAACCTTAAGCGTGAGATGGAAATGTCACAACCCATATCATATTTGGAACATCAGCTCCCAAACCAATAATGACAGATGATAATGTTGTACTACCTTATCTATTCGAGCCAAAATCTGAACCGGAAAATGCAGATGACCAAGCTGATCGATCAACTTTGCCAGCGCGACTGGACCAGATCGTATCAGATTGGTAATGTTTTATTTCATTGGGGACATAATTACTGATTATAATGACGTATACTGTCTTTTTACACGTCGCGCCGCGCTACGGGTGTGTATGTAAACATAAAACTATGTCTGCATTTGTGATCGTAGAGACGACAAGCAAGCACTACTCTATACTGCTCAAAGCTTGCGTTTGAATAGTCAGTAGCAAATTCTTAAAATAGGAAAACATATTACAGGCTGTGTCTGTGAGTCAGAAGCGCCAGACTGTACTTGCAAATATGGAATTGCTTTTTAGAATCAGCTTTGTGCACAGCCGGCCTTGTACTCTCCCAGGTTCTGGAAACAGTCCTCCGAAAAATGCGCAGCACACAGTCAAACATTTTAGTTGTACTGTTCTGGAACAGTGTTGTAAATAAAGCTTAAGCACTGGTTTCTAATTGTGTCCGTCAAACAAAGTAGTTTGGTTTTCGCAAAGAAAAACACAGCGTCTCCACGACATGGCAGCGCCGGCGGCAACAATAATACAGCGAGAATAAAAGTTACGCCTTCTTTCTTTGCGTATACATTTGGATGGTGTTATGAAACACACTGACGTAGATTTGTGGGGGCGTGTTTGAACGAAGCGTTTTAGGAAAGCGTGGCTGAGCCTGAACTTTCTAAAGAATATCTCTTTAGGTTTGACACTTTGAGCTTTGTTCTGCAGATCTTATACTTGCACTAACAGCTACATAACACACTAAAGAAAAAGGAAAACATGAAATCGCATCAAATGACCCCTTTAATCCCCCCCAAAATCTTACTGACACCCAACTTTTGAATGATAGTGTAAAGTTAGTTGTGTAGCTGGAATAATAAGATTTTCCGTTTGATACGCTTAAATGGAGTTAAATTCTTTCACTAATTAACCACGCTTTACATCTTCTTGAGTAATCGTCTGGAATGAATCTTCTCCTTACATTCTCCATCTCTGTCCTGCTTTAGGAGTTCACTTCTGGCATCTGGAGGTCAGTGCAGTCAAGTTAAGACCCCTCCACGCTCTCCATCCTACAGCAGCTCTCCAGGACCCAGCGGGTATGAACACAGAGCTTTAAAAAAGAAAAGAAAACAGAATGATTATTTAATTTGTTTTTTTGTAAGCTAGTGGGTTTGACTAGTCAAAATAATTATTTATATTTGTTTGTGTATATATAAATAAATAATGTATATCTTTTTTTTGTGGCGGTGCTTTAAATACTTAAATAATTGAAAAATAGTTTAATAATTTAAATTTTTTACTTTTTTAAATGGAAATAAATGGTGCATAATTTGTTAAAGTAAGTATAGTAAGAACTCTGAATACTTTTTCTAGTCTCCTCATTGAAAAAACAAGTTATAACAAATTATTGCAGAGAAATAATTCATGCATTCGCTAATTTATTAATTATATTGCTACTTGCTAAAAAAAGTAAAAAAGTATTGTGATTGTGTGTTAATGAGTTCAAAGGGAAATTATATAAATAACATTTTATAGTAATCAGTGTGTTGAAAGTATTAAGATTTAGACAACCCACCTGTACATTTTGAAAATATATAGTTTTACACTTCCCTGCACGCAAGTTGCATAAGTATAAACCATATGCCATTTTCAAGTTTGCACATTTGTTCATGTAGAAGCCAAGACTGATTTCCTCCTGCCCTAGCTAAGGCTAATCTTTTCACTGTTTGATTTCTGGGTCTTTGAAGATTGGGGCCTTTGCCAATAGGGCAAGTGCCAGTGAGTCCTCGATTGGCATGAAGATTGCATCTTTAATGGGCACAGATCGTCCTGTTCTCCTTCATTATTAAATGAAGCCCATGAAACCCAGCTGACTAATTTGTAGTTCCTATCCAGAAACGTCCTGTGAGATATTAAATGATTTTATTTTAGCAATGGCAGCTGGAGGATATGCTGATGTCAGTGCTTTTATGTTTTACCATGTTTCTCTCTCTCTCTCTCTCTCTCTCTCTCTCTCTCTCTCTCTACTCAATCACTCAATTTATTTGGCTCTCCCTCTAATGTTTTATTTCTGCCTCATTCTCAGCAGGCCGAGTGAGTTTTCTGGGAGTAACTATGGCAACTATGGGCAGTCTGTTCCCATTCCAGTCCCCACTCAGATTCACAACTACCAGCGCATGGAGCAAAACCTCCAGTTCCCAGGTCAAGAGGGCTCTCCACGGTGAGTGAAACCATATCCGTGTATACTAAGGGCAAAATTCCCTCTTGAAATTGTGATTTGAATAGAGTGCAACAGTCATATTTTTTCACTTTATAAAAATGAACATTCTCATCAAAATTTGAATATTCTGATTATTTTAAGTAAATATTTTGGAAAGTATTTGTCTATAAAATGGAAATTAATTCATTACATATAATTATTTAATTGTATATTCCTGGAAATACTCCAATTTTTTTGTATAATAACATGTTTAGAGGTAATTCATACAGAAAATGAAACGTTAAAATGACCAATGCATAACCAATGCAGCTATACATGAATTTCTTTGAATATCGTTTTACTCAAATTTAAATGATTTTGTACCTACGTTTTAATTTAAATTAGCCTAAGTTCAAATGGAATTTAAAGGCATGTATTCATTACTCCTTTCTTTCTTGCTTTCATTCTTTCTTTCTTTCTTTCTTTCACAGATCTGCCACGGTCCAGCGATGCGGTAGCGGGAGCTTTCTGACCTGTGGAAGGACAGGACCTTCTCCTCCTCAGCCTGGTTGTGCTCTCACTTCTCGCAGGCTGTCCACAGGAGGCACAAAACCCTTCCAGCTCTCTCCACAGGGTGAGTGCCACTTTCTTTGGCCTAAAGCCTCAGTCATGTCATTGTAGCTAAATATGATTTAGCTGTGTTTCTGAACAAACTCTCTGGCTCACTCTCTGCTCTGCTTTTGTCTCAAAAGTGGGCACCATTCCTGAGTTGCCAGGCCAAATTTGCCCAGCGAGTACAGAAATGGTTCATAGGGGCTCTCGGGGTGGAGGTAAAATAATTTTTCCTCTGTTTGCACTCTTTTGTTGTTTTTTAAAGGAACATCAGTATTTCATAGCCCAGTCATTTTCCATTGTGTAAATGTTGCATGTCAAGAAAGTTGGAAAACGATTGTATTTTTGTATTTTTGGATGACGACTCTTTCACTCTTCCCGGCTGTTTAGAAAGCAAGGCTCGGCCACAACAGCAGGGTCTAGGTACGCGGCTCAACAGCGCCCCCTGTTTGCTGGAGGCGACTGGTGGGTGCAGGCAGAAGATCAGGAAGCAGCATTCAGATCCAGTGGTAGCTCCTCAGGGAAACATGATGCCCTTTAGGACCCTGCACTCCTCACCCAGGCTCAGTGAACTTATGCAACGCAACCCCCTACCAACCATCCTGGGTTCTCCTTCCAGAGTAAGATCCATATTTCTGTTTGTGTGGCCATGAGCTCCCAGTTTTACACTCCTGTCCAAAGGTGTGAGTTGGTTCGAATTTTTTTTTTTTATGTTTCGAAAGAAGTCTCTTATGTACAGAGCCCCTAAAGTGAAGGAAAAAAATATGAGATGGAGGAAAAATTATTTGTCAATACATTTGCGTTTTCTTGCAAATGTTTTTATTACCTCGAGAAACTTCACGTTCCCTCGCAAAAACGGTTTGTGTTCCCCAGAGAAACTTTCCGTTTTTCCACCACCATGTCCCTTTAGGGGCTCTGTACTTGTGCTCACTAGGGAAGCATGTATTTGATCAAAATACAGTAAAAACAGCAATATTGTAAAATATTATTAACAATTTTTAAACAAGTTTTCTGTTTAAATACATTTTAAAATGTAATTTATTCCTGTGATGGCAAAGCTGAATTTTAAGCATCATTACTCCAGTCTTCAGTGTCACATGATCCTTTAGAAATCATTCTAATATGCTGATTTGGTGCTCATATTTCTTATTATTATCTTTGTTGAAAACAGTTATGCTGCTTAATATTTTTGTGGAAACCATGATACTTTTTTTCCCAGAAATTTCTGATGAAATAGAAAGTTCAAAAGGACAGCATGTATTTGAAATTGAAATCTCTTTATTTTTTATTTTGATAAAAAAAAAACGTGCGTCCTTGCTGAATAAAAGTACTTATTTCTTAAAACAAACAAAAAAGATCTTCCTGACCCCAAACTTTTGAACTGTGGTGCGTGTATGTACTGTGTAATAAATGCAAACAAATAATGTAAAAATGTCCTTTTTCCTTTCCAGGCCATGCCCCCATTTGAGTTTCCCAAGCCCCCGAGTTCCCCAAACATGGTCACGTTTCTTACCCACCAGGGCCTCAGACCAGCTCAAGGAGAGGCTAGTTTGTCACCTATCTACCATTCTGAGGAGAGAAAAGGCTTTGGGAGGTAAGAGAAGAAGAGTAGATTTTAGCTCCATTCCAAATCCTAATAAGTGGCCTTGCTGTCTACATAAACAGCATTGTAAACAAATAAAAAAAACTCTTAAGTTACTAAAACACTCTTCAAAAAGCTAGGCAGCTCTCCTTGTTTTGGAACAGAGCTATTATTTATTTTTCCTCTTATTTTGCTTTTTTATCATCTCTACTGCTCGGGACAGGTCTCATAGTGCTGGACGCCTATCTGATGTGCTGCTTATGGCGGCGTTTGGGGGTCAGCGAGGAGAAAGAAGCAGCATGGAGAATCTCAATTCCGACAGAGGCATAGACATCACAGGTGAGCTCACTGACACATTCACAATGGCCACCCCAATGTAACTTTCCCGGTAAATTACCCAAACACGGTAATGTTAATCTGTAAAATGATTTATTTCTGTCATTGAAAGTGAACATCAGTATGTAATTGGTCTTCATCTTGTAATAAAATGTTATTTTAAATGTCGAGTTATATGCAGTCTTCATTTAACACACTGTTGTTTTCCTGCTCACAGCGCCACCTGGTGGTGGAGGCATCGTGGTGGGCTCAGGTAGCCCTGCTCGAGTAGTGTTCACTGTGGGTTCTCCGCCTAGTGGGGGAACACCTCCTCAGAGTTCTCGCTCAAGGAAGTTCTCCGGTAAGTTTGTTTTTTCCCCTCCAATTTTGACTTCTTCATGATTTGTCTAAATTTAAAATGAATCCTTCAGGGTAGCACTGACCTGAGTGTCTCACAGCAGGTTCTTCAAGCTCCATTAGTCCGGTAGGGTCCCTCACCAGCCGCTACCCGCAAACAGGCCTTCTCGTGGACGGCTACGAGGGGCCCTCGAGTCCCCGCTACGGTTTCTCTGACCCCATCTCAGCCAACCTAGAAGGAGCTGTGACTTTTGAAGCCCCTGAACTACCAGAGGAGACCCTAATGGAGGTAAGCACAAAATTGACTGCATTTTGTTTTTATAGTCATGCTAACTAGTTTAAGTTTGAGTCTAACGCCACACTTCTCTCTCCACTGCAGCAGGAACACACAGAGACTTTGCACAGGCTCCGGTTCATGCTGGACTTTGCCCGATGTATGGTGGATGTGGCAGAAGCCCGGGGTGATGAGGCTCCCCAGGCCGACCCCTCTTCCACCAGCCTGCTCCAGCAACAAAGCCTGGTGGCCGACCAGATCAGCTCTTTGAGCCGAGAGTGGAGGTGAGAAGATGTACACCATGGCTAGTCTCTCACAACTATGAATCTCTCTAGTTATGGATCACAAGTGCATTTCTTCTATATATTTTGAGACCAGAAGGGCAGTTCTTCTGTTCACAAACTGTGTGCCAGTGTGGTGTAATGTGGTATAAAATCCTTTAATGTGAAAATCAACTAAAATAGCAATTTAAAGACACTGGTTCTGCGTAGAGTGGCGTTAAAAATGTGTATATTTGTGTCGTGTCAGTTATGCTGAACAGTTGGTGCTTTACATGAAGACGGCAGAGCTTCTGTCATCTTCAATAAACACAGCCATGGAAGGAATCAAGCAGGGAAAACTCTACCCCTCTACCACCGTCAAACAAGGTCAGCAGTTTAGACACTTTCTTCTCACCATCATCATAGTGTGCACAACAGTGGCCATCCACTTTTTAAGCATAGTTCCTATTCATTTTCTCAGTAGGCATTAAAAATTCATTGACTATGTTTACATGCATCCTCATAATCTAATGAGATTTAGGCAATATTAATGGAAAAAACTGATGACTAGTCAATGAATAGAAGTACAATATAATATATTTACAATGTGCAATTTAAGTAAAACAATACATTTGATGTTTAAAGCAAAATATTTAAACATGTATACAAGTCATTTGGGGGTGTCTTATTTATTTGGAAAACCCTGGTGCAGGGAGACTGACTCATTCGCAATTCTTTATGGGACTAAGATACATTAAAGATACATTGTCAAATACTTGAGACTAGTTCTAATATCAAAGTAGTTATTAATATTATATTATTAATAATAATTATAATATTATTATTATTGTCCATGCAGTGGAACTGAGGGTGTTTACACTTTGATGTTTTTCAGTGGTTAGGAGGTTGAATGACCTGTATAAGTCCAGTGTGATGTCCTGCCGCTCTCTGAGCGCTCAGCTGGAGCGATTCTTCTCCCGTAAACACAAACTCATGGACCACATCAACAGCATCACCGCAGAGAGGCTCCTCTTCAGCCACACCGTACAGATGGTAAGAAAGGTTCCAAAGGGTGGTTTTCACAGCCATGCCATAGAAGAACCTTGTGCTCCCCACACAATGTTGTAGTGACGGTTCTTAAAAGAACCATTTGTACTAAATGTGAAGAACATTTAAATCTAAAGCTCCGTTTTCCTCAATAAATAACGTTTTCTGCAATGGAAAGGTCCCATGGATGTTGAAGGTTCTTCAAGGAACCATACCAATAAAGAACCTTTATTTTTAAGAGAGTGGTCTTGAAAAATCAGGGAATTTTGAAATTGTGACTTTAGGGTTCTAGAAAATACTTTTTTTCCTAATTATGCTCAGTAGAGCTGGATGATTAATTGTTAAAAGATTGCGATCTCAATTCAAACACCTACACGATCTTATTCTTAAATGACAATGATTCGGCTATTAAAATGATATTATAATGATCATAGCAGAACATTCAAATCCTGTTGGTGCTGCCGCTGACCCAGAGAGAGATGTATGAAACAGCTGCATAAACAGGCTCTTCAACCACACATTATCAATTTTATTTTTATTTTTTTGCATGACACTTAAAAGATTGTATTACATTGTTACACCAGTAGGTGGCGACAAGTGACCATTGAAAAAGATTCGTCAAAAAGGCTGATTTATCCACTAATTAAAACAAGTGAAGTCTTTGAAAAAGTCATTTAAAACCATTTTTAAAACCGATTTAAAAAAAAAAAAATGTTTTACATGGACTGCAGAAATAAACATTGTGTCAGAAGCTCTAGTAAATGACATGCTATTTTGTTTAGTTATCTATTCAAAATCATGGGAGAATCGTGATCTCCGTTTGAAACACAAAAACCATGATTCTCAATTTATCCAGAATCGTGCAGCTCTGATGCTGAGCTGTAAAAAACACTGTTTCTTTTTTGGATTTGTTCTATGTTGTCAGCCTTTTTCTATTCCTAATTCCTAATTTTAGCTTATAGCTACTGTTTGTCGAGTGTATTTAAGAAGTTGTCTGGTCTTACAGGTGCAGGCGGCTGCTCTGGATGAGATGTTTCATCAGGGGGAAGCCTCAATTCAGCGCTACTATAAGGCTTTGCTGCTCATGGAGGGTCTGTCTCTCCTCCTCACAGAACAGACTGACATCCTCAGCGTTAGCAAGTGTGAGTAAAACTACAGACAGACTTGTGTATTAACATTCAGGATATCTTAATAAGATCATTTGCGTAACCAGTGTGATGTTTCCCTACAGGTAAGCAATGCATTGAACGCCGTCTCACCGCCTTGCAGTCGGGTCTCTGTGTGTAAAGTCTCTCCAGCACGCTGCTGTTACACCATCAAGATTACCGTTGCCTCCCTGAGCACCTCTCGAAGTGCTGTGGGGGAGGGGATGGCCCTCTGATTGGACCAAGTTAATCTGATTGACAGCTGATGTCATAATGGTGGAAAAATACACAAATGTTGCTACTTTACATCATTACAGACACGGAAGGACACCAAAAAAAAACCTGTGTCTGTAGTCAAGAAGAAACTCGACGATTCTCTCACAGAGTTTAAAGTGAAGAACAAGATGTTTCTTGGTGCAACTTGTTGGCTCAAATGTCCATGTTATCAATGGGTTGTGCAATCTGAGTTTTTTAGACAAGGTTTACCCACCCCAGAACATCAGTTTCTTACATTTTCCTTAGTTTGTATTTAGTTTTCACCATGCTAATTAGCGGAGACGTTATAAAAAAACACGTTTAAGATGATTATTAGCGATTTATTACCGCATTTACATGTAGGAGTGATTTGTGTGATTGAAGTTGAAGTAATTTCGGTTTGTTGGTTGCTTGAAATCCAAGTGTCCAGTTAGAAGTTGTTCTAATCGCTAGATAAATGTTGCAGACCAGCAAAATGGTGATTTTTGTGCACCATGTGAATGTTATAAGAGGCCCAAATTCTCCCTCACAGGGGAGATTAATCGGAAATTCAATGACCAAGTTACAAGCCATGCATAAAACAAATTATTTTGATTCTGTCCTTTCACAGAAGGAAACTGTATAAAGCCAGCAAAATCATTTGTAGCACTTTAGTGAATGTTTACCAAGTAAGAGCATGTCAAACCCTGTTTTCATCCTTTAAATGTCTTAGAAATGAATATTGTATGCGTTGTTTGGACATCTCTTATGACCGGTTCAGTTTCTTCTTTTTAAATGGCTAATATTGTGTTTTTATTTTGTGTTTGGCAATCATTTGTCTGAATGTAGTTTGGCTTTTTAAGTTAATGTTGCATTAGGGCTTAAACCGAGAGCAACACAAAGTTCCTGCGCCATCACAGGGGATTTTAAGTGTTATTTAGTCAGAAATATTATGCCAAAAAAATCTTTATAGTTTAGATAATGGCGGTATTAACATTGGCACGCTCAATATTAGGTTGGCATCAGAATTTGTAAGAAACTCTTGATTATACCTCTTATTGGAATCATATGTGTGATCCTGTTCCAGCCTTTAATGCCCATTTTAGTGTTTTTTCTGAGGACAGAATGTACTTCCTTTGGGTTGTGCATGCATAGATATTCCTGTTGTTGATGTGAGCTGTGTATAATCTGACAAAGGACAGGTCTTAAGATAGTAGTCTATTCTAGCTTGCTGCACTGTTTGAGGGCTCTTTAGCTAGGTAAGCAGAAGAGATTCAAAAACGAGCGGACCATTTGGTGTGAACACCACATTTTTTCCACATTAGAGTTATATTATTAGTGCTTTTTAGTCTTTTTTTCCAATTGTGCTGTATATGAACAGTGTGTTTGTGTTGAAAATATTTAAAACATTTTTAAAATGTGCCTTTAAAAAAAAAAGCAAAAACTGAAACACTGAAAAAATATTTTGCTCTGTTATATTTCTTTTCTTTCATTTTGTACATTGTCAGTGTGGAGTGTGTAGTGTTTTGAATGGTTAAATTGGACTGGGTTAAGATGCTATGGGAAGGTTTAGTTTGCTTCACTTGTATGTGTGTGTGAATGTATTTGTGTTTAAATGTCGTACATGCTAGTTCGAAAAAACTGAAGTGCGTCGGCATGATAGTGAGACATAAGCTATTGTTTCTGTTTCGAGTTTCAGAGACCAGTTGCCATCATAGTAACATGGTTTTTTTTGTTTTTTTTTATAAATACCACTTAAATTGTCATTTTTACAGCTTTGTTAAAAGACAAATAGCTTTTTTATTTTCTCTGTCTGAACAATTTGAGGATTATGCTGCATCACGGTGTTTTCACCATGCAGTGTATTTGTGTTGTGCTTTTATAACTGCATAAAATAAAAAACCCGTTTAATCCATCAAATGTTAATCGCCGCCTACATGGACATTGGATGTATCGTGACATTTTAAATCACTGTGTAAAGCATGAAGTGTTTGTTTCTGGGAGGTCATCTCTGATTTAAGAGTCACTTTGTCATTGAACTGCACACACTATAACTTGCAATCACTACACTGTTGTCTTCTCCAGTAATTAATAACGTACATCTGTTTTACCTTGGTCTCTCGGTATCATGTGTAAATATGGATTGTAAATTATCGCTTTAAACTTGTACATCTAGCAATCGCATGGAGATTTGCTTTCCGTCACCCTCTCCCCACCAAAGATATGAACGTTCCCAATTGTGACTGTTGATAAACATTTACAGTTGTTTGTTCTGTAAAAAGACCTGTACACACTCTTTCATGTCAAATGTAAGATGTAACTCTTTGCTTTAAACAGTACAGCACCAATAAAAGAGGAAAACTGAAATAAATATTGCCTTTGTTGGTTGTTGAACTGTCCTATTTCTCCCCAGGGAGGGGTTTTGGGAGTGTTGAATGTTTTCTGTGTTCTGCAGTCTGATAAATACTTGAATTATTTTTGTAAATTATATAATAATTAAAAGTTTGTGTATTTAAGAATTTTACAATTATATTTTAATTTGTTTATTGTTAATTTATGTATTAAATTAAATGCATTTCAATTAAACTTTTACTTAAATATAAATTCGATTTTAAATGTATTATTTATTCAATTAAATGTTATACATTCCAAAGTTTATGTATTAAAAAAAAAATGCAATTATATTTTAATTTATATTTATTTTTAATTAATGTATTAAATTGCACACATTTTAATTAAACTATTACCTAAATATTAAATATAATTCAGATTCAAAATAGACTATTTTATTTATTAAATTAAATGTTATACATTTAAAAGTTTATGTATTTAAGAATTTAACACTTATTTGTTATTTAATTTAAATGTTTGTGCTAAATTGCATACATTTTAATTAAACTATAACAAATATGAAATATAAATTATATTTTAAATGTATTATTTATTAATTTTGTTATTAAATGTAATTGCATACATTTTAATCAAACTATAAATAGTATCTGTAAATGTGTTCAGTCTAATTAAATATGTGAAATTAGTACATATTATGAATGCCTATAAATACACTTGAAGGGAATTGTAAAAACTTGGCTCCCCTCTTAGCAACTTTTTAAAAAACATGGCAACCCAATTTAGTTCACGCGATATTCGGCGAGATGTGAAAGTTCAGCCACTCCACGTGGGTGTTTTCATCATGGTACAGGGGAAGTAAATAAGTTGTTGCAGTGAAGTGAAGATAGATGATTCTGCTGTCAGAAATAATTTGTCTAGATCAATAGCATTTATTGCAAATCATGCCGATTTTGTGCTAAAGATAATTGTGAGATCCTCACTGGAGAGTGTGTAATGCCATGCTGAGGTCTTGTCGGATCATTCATATTTTATCACGTCATTTATCCCATTTCTCAAAATCAAAGGTACGTTTCTTAATGCGTTCTGCTGTAAAGTAATTGATGAATGTTCTTTTAGTGTTCACCGTAAACTGAAATGCTCTTCAGGGTGGCCAGGTCCAATATTAAAATCCCTTGTATTTTGCATGTCCTGCAAGATGACTGAGGATTCAATCAAAGCTTTGAAAAGACCAGCAGATGATACGCTCGTTGAGACTGAACATGAAGACAAGAAGCTTAAAACAGACCAAGATGAGAAGAAATACCCCAAGAAAAAAGTGGCCCTGCTGATGGCATATTCAGGCAAAGGCTATTATGGGATGCAGGTGAGTTATGATATCGCAGCACAGTGATTTATATATCGCTGTCAGTGTGGGGTGTTACTCTAAAAAAAAAAAGTTATTACTATCTACTAATTATATCTTCAACAGAGTGATTAAATCACTGTACTAAATACTCTCTCTGTACTAAATACTGTACTAAATACTCCCATATCAACACAATACAAGGATGGATGAAACTGCTTTTTTAATTCATTCAAATAAATAATATAAAACTGCATAATTGTTCTTGATCTGACCCAAGTACTTAAATGGAGAAGTTACATTAAAAACACACATTTTTACATACATTAGTCGTAAAATGTTGACGTTAAATCCACCATTGTTTTAGAATTGTTCTATAGTCTATACCGTATTTAATGCAATTAAATCACAAGTAACTAATGTAGTTAATTACTTAGCAATCAGTGTTGAGTGTAACTCATAACTGTGTTGCCAGAGTATTAATATTTATCCTGTTCATCCAGAGAAATGCAAAGAACTCTCAGTTCCGAACCATTGAGGATGAGCTGGTCACTGCTCTTGTCAGAGCTGGCTGTATTCCAGAGGGCCATGGAGAGGACATGAAGAAGATGTCTTTCCAGCGGTGTGCGCGAACGGATAAGGTGGACACTTTAACCTGGTGCATTTTATTATTATTATTATTATAGTCAGGGTTATCATAGTTATTGCTAAAAACCATAAACACGTTTCCGTTACTTGAAATCAAATAAATGTTAACTGACATTAAAAATTAATAAAAACTATAAAACTGATTTGATACCTTTTGAAGATTATTTGCTGACGCGAAGCGGAGGGGTCTTGAATGAATCATCCTGAAGGGGTTGTATTCTCGCTATAACAACCGCCTCGCTCTACATTATCCCGCTTATTACATGGCTTTTTTCCCTTTTTTGTATATAATTTTTTGTTGAGCACCATAATGTTTTGCTGTGGATGTGCGTGCTTTTGGATCTGACTTTACCTACCAAATTAATCAATAATTTTAAACAAAATATTGATTTAAAAAGGAGTTCATTGATTTAAAGGAGTTTATCCTCCAGAGTGAACAGAACCGTGTCCATGGCAACGCTCTGTTTTTTATGGCAACGGTGTGTTATACTTAGCAGCATTCTATATTAGAATTCAACCAAGCCATGTAATAAATATTGTAGAACACTGTTCTGTTCACTCTGGAGTATAAACTCCTTTTTAAACCAATATTTTGTGTCAAATTATTGATTTATTTGGTAGGTAGCCATGTAATAAGCGGTCGGGGTCCTGATCAGTCTGTCGGGGTTGTATTCGCTATAACAACCGCCTCAGTCTACATTATCCCTTACATATTATTTTAAGTATAATT